ACGAGCGGGCTCCAGATCCGCCTGCAGAGCGCTTGCCGGCTCTCCGGCGGGGCAGTCAGGGGAGGCACCGGGATGAAGTCAATATAAAACTAATTTTCTTTTCTTCGTGAAGAAATGAGGTGTGTGGCAGTAACGTAATTGCAGATAATGAGGTAAGTTATTCTTAATATTCCCAGCGTCGCTGTCAGCTCCACCTAATGTACCTGCCGGCTGTCCGGGGCGCGCAGAGCCCCCCGCACCGCGCAGGGGTTATGAGCCCATTCATTTGGGAGCCTCAGGACCGGCCCCGAGCTCCCCGTGGCTCCCTGACGTGTCCTTGTCACTGCTGCAGCCGGGTGTCCCCGGCCCCATCCCACCCTTGCCCAGCACCAGATCCCCAGAGCCGGGCTGTGACGTCGGGGTCACCCCGATGGTGGGGTGGGGACCCGTGGCCCTCTTGTCCCCAAAGCTGCTGTGGCCGTGGGGGTGTCTGGTCCCTGTAGGGTGAAAATCCCATTGCCTGTGCACAGCCACAGCCTCCTGCCACAGCTTGAGTGGGGGACAAGTGCCAGTGTCCCCTGGGGGTGCCGTGGGAGCATGGGAAGGCCAAAACCCCTCTGGTTTCTCAACAGGGCTCTCCTGGGGCTGCTTTTGAGCCGAGGCATGGACTGGATGGGTCGTGCTGTGGTGGGGACGGGTGAAGGCTGAGCACTGCTCCCTCCCTGCTTTGGCACACGAGGCGAGCGGCCACCAGAGCCGATGGCTCTGTCCCCTCCCGGGACGTGCCCACGCAGGGTGAGCAGTGCAGCTCAGGGCACGGTGGGGACACGACCCATGGCTCCCCTTCGGGATTGCAAGGAACATCAGCAGCAGCGTGGGGCCCGCAGGGCTCCCGCAGGTCACGAGGCTGCTGCCCGGCCCCGTGGCGAGGGGAGGGGAGGCGCGGGGAGGCTGTGGCCGGGCGTCCCCGCTTCCGCTGGCAGGGAGCCGTCGTAGGAAGGGAGCGGTGATATTATTCATTAACAGTAATCTGCCATTAGAACATTGACAAATGGCCCCTGGTCGCCTGAGCATCAGTTCTCGTACAGACCATAAAGCATGGGGACAGTTTAAATATGGACCTGCTCTGCTCGGGCCGGGGGGCGATCCGTCTTCCCAGCCGCAGCACAGGTGCGCCGGGGCTGGCTCCAAATGAGCGCGGTCAGGGGGGGCTCTCTGCTCCCACAGCCCCTCGGGGCAGCTCCAGGCCCCACCGGGATGGAGAAGCTGGCTCCTTGCTCCTCCTGCTTGGCTCTTGTCCCTGCCAGTCCCCGGGGTGGCTGGTGGCCACGCCAGGAGAGGCGGGAGCCCCGTCCTTCCCCCTGCTGCCTGGGGCTGGGGAGGGCGCGGGGGCATCGCTGCACCTGCGGCACGAGCCTCGCTCCTTCCCACAGCCCCGTTGCATGGCACGGCCACATCCTGCCAGCCCGTGGGGCTGCGGGATGACCTCCTGCTGCCGAAATCTTCCAGCTCCTCCTGGGCTCGTGGCAGTGCTGCTCTGCCCCAGCCGTGGCGGCACAGCAAGCGGCACAGGCTGCTGCCTCCAGCCCTGCCGAGGAGCGCAGCAGGAGCGGTGTCGCTGTGCCAGCACCAGGACAAGGACAGGCAGCGGTGCTGAACGCTGGCAAACTCCAGCCCTAATTAAAAGGCCCCGGCGTGAGCTCGCTCTGCCCGCCTGTCCCCGCGGCACAGAGCTCGGCAAAGATGCGGTGTGGGCTGGGACGTGGGCACGGAGCTGGCGAGGAGCCATTGGGGCAGGCTCGGCCCCAAGCACCCCGTGAGCACGGAGGGAGCTGTGCGGGACACAGGTGATGCTCCGAAGCGACACGACACGGCGAGGGGCAGGGAGGCACCGCGGAGCCGCTGCTCCGTTTGCAGAAGGCGCCGTAACCCCACGCTGACCCCTCTCACACACACCGCGCAACACCCCTAAATCAATTGCATCTTATTATTACAATATCAATATACAATATTCCTACAATAACACCATTGATTTTCTACTCAGAGGCTGCACCTAAGTCTGTTTTAAAGAGGAGGGAGTTAATAGTGCCCTCATTAAAAATCTATAGATTACCCCCCACCCCAAAAAAGAAAAAGCAGTTTATATTCATTAGGGCTATTGAATATAAAGTAATATGTTTGTGTAGGACATTGGAGTAATGTGATAATCCGTCCGCATATCAGGGAGAAATCCACTTAGCAACCCTGTCAGCTTGACAAGAAAAATGTGCCCATAAAGTCGGGAATACATTGAGGGAGCGAGCGCGAGGGAGAGCAGGGGCGCGCGGCCGCGGCAGAGCGGTGTCAGCGGCACGGGGCCATCGTCACCCTGCTGCCAGCACCGGGACACGGGCGGGCACCCCGCTGCCCTGAGAGGTGCCCGGGGCCGGGGCAGCACGGCTGTGCTGGGGTGGGGAAGGTCGGGGCTCAGCCCGTGGCACCCCAAGCGCGGTCACCTGGCAGGACACGGGGCTGGGCGTGCCACCGGGGGCCGCGGTGGCTGCGGGACCCCCTGCGGCAGCGTCCCCCTGGGGAGCGCAGGGCTGCCCGGCGTCCTCGGCCCCCAGCCCCGTGGTCACCTTCGCGATGGATTAAGCACTGAAAGAGCAGAAAAGCAATCCCGTTCGCGCCCTCTTAGGTTGTCAATTGCCATTTTTGTAATAGAAATTCCTTTCACAAGGTAACAACGGGCAGATTTAGAGGATTTCATATTGCTAATAATTCCCCAAACAGCCATCTGACGGTGTTGTTTTAAAAGCCGCTTAGTTTTTTGCTTTGGAGTTTATGAAAATCTCCCACTCTAATATCCCGAGAGCCAGCCTATAATTGTGTTATTAAATCAATCGGAGCGGATTACATTGTAAAATCAATAGATGGCTGTAATTGCATATTAGAAAGTTGTTCTGCTGTTGTTGATTTTTTTTTACATGGATAATTATAATAAGCGTGTTTACCTTGGCGCTGATTTGGAATGAGTCTCACTAAATGACTTACGACGAGCTCGGCGCTCCCGCTGCCAGGGGGCCGTGCCGGCGTTTGGGGTGGCGAGGGCGACACCACAATTCCTCGGCCGTGATGTCCCGCTGGGAGCCAGCTCCCGGGGAAGCTGCGGTGCGAGCTGGAGGGGATGGGGTCTGTGGGCAGGAGCTGGGGGTGCAGGAGAGGGGGAGCCGAGAGCGAGCCTTTCCCTGGGACTGCGGGGTCCCGGTAGCGCCCTGAGCAGCTCCCCAAGGAACAGGGACAAGTGGCGATGGGAGCTGGCGCTGGTCAGGACACGCTTCGTGTGCCAGGACCTGTCAGTGCCCCCCTGGGCACGGATCTGCCCCCGGCCGGGTGCTGGGGCCAGGCAGGGTGGTGCGGTGGCACCGGCCCTGCTGCGGGCACCTGGCAGCAGGGCAGCGCTGCCCGTCTGAGCAGGGCCCTCAATCCGGCACGCGGCACTGTCAGCAGGCAGCCTGCTGTCTCCTAGACAGTGAAATATGGCCACAATTAGCCCGGATACAGTTCAATTATGATAAACAGCGTTTGCACCCTTTAAGCCGTGATTAAAAGGCCTCCTCCCGTTGATAGAGAGACCTAATTTCACATTATTATCGCTGTAGCTTGATTATAAAGCACTCCCTGGATTTACAGTTGGGAGATGGATGTGGAGGCTTCTTTATCATTTACACATCAGTAATGATGCAGCCTTCCCTCCACCACAACATCCATCCAGCGGCGGCGGCGAGAGGGGGGCCCGGGCTGCGCCCCCTCCCGGGGCGCCCTCTCCCCGTGTCAGCCGGGCCCCGCTGCCACACACAAGTGGGCAAAGTCACCCTTACGGTAACAGCTTGATAAATGGGCGCGCGGTAATGAAATGGAGACATCAAGGCGTGGGGCGAGGAAGAAAGAGTGGTAATCGGAACGAGTGGAGCTGTCCCGAAACGGAGGGGAGCGGGAAGAAGGATCGCCTCTGTGCCGTGTGCTGTCAAGGGAGAAATTACACATTTACTCTTGCTTTTTCTTAAGGAGACGGCCCTCATAGATCAAAACATGGATTTACAAGCCAATTTTCAACATGAAATATAGACACCAGGAATCAATTTAAGCCCGGCTTCTATTTTAGCAAACGGTGCCTGCGTTTAGTCCCAGGTAAATAACGCCAGGAGCGCCTGCCCCCTCCCCGCCTCGCAGCCCCTCGCTCTGGCCACTTCGGTGCCATGGGCTGTCCCCCAGCGCCGGGGCCGTCTGCAGCCCGGTGCCACGGCGTCCTGGTGCCAGCGGGCACGGGGTGGCACTGAGGGACAGCCCTGGCTGGGACAGGGACAGCCCCGAAGCACGGTGCCTCGGTGCTGCGGCAGGGAGAGCCAGGTGCCAACAGCCCCTGCCCGAGGAGAGCGAGGGGAAGGGGAACGTGCGTGGCTGGTGGAGGGCAGCTGCGGTGTCACTGGGCAGCCCCAGCCCCGGCTGAGCTGCAGGGACAGCTCCTCTGTGGGCACGGTGTCAGACATCCATAAACTGAGTGGCTGGTGCTGGGCTTGCAGGGAGGAGGCTGCTGGCCCAGAGCTGGGGGGCCAGCATGGATCCTGCTTGTGGGAACGCTGCTGTTCCTATACATCCCCGTGGCAGCGCCCCACAGCGAGCACTGGGCTGGGGGACACAGGGACACGGCAGCCGGGCATGGCCTGGGCAGTGCTGCCTCCAGTCCTGGCCGTGGGGCCGTCCCCATGCAGCGGGGCCGTACCGAGAGGTGGTGACGGGGAGCTGGGGGCCCTGCGCTCACCCCACGCTGCTGGGGAGCACTGGGGCAGAGGCAGTGCCCCCATGGGGCTGGACGCCCTGAGGAGCAGTGGCTGTAGGGGATCGAGGCCAGCTTGTCCCCTTGGCTGGGCTGGAGGGGACACGGGGCCGGCCTTGGGGCTGACCGAGGTCCCGGCTGTGTCCCGGGGCAGCCCGGGGCCGGAGCGCGGTTCTAACCCAGCGCCTCTGTGCTCTCTCCGCAGACGACTGTAAGAACATCGCCAACATCATGAAGACACTGGCCCATAGAGGCTTCATCTTCAAGCAGACCTCCAAACCCTTTTGATCCCCAGGGCAGGCCAGGCAGGGCTGCATGCGCCCGGCGCCGGCGAGGCGGGGAGGACGGGCTCTAGCATTCAAACGGCAACCGAGGCCAGAGGAACCGACACAAATCTCAATTCAGCTGTTACTCCAGTAGAGGTTGTATATATGGGAAGGCAAATCTGTGTAGACCTGATGTGACTCCCTCTCTGGGCTGCTCCGGACATTATGCCATGCTAGCGGACAGCCGCGTAGGGCGCTTGCACCACATTTTAGACTCGTAGTTTGTTCTTTTCTTTGGCTCCCGATTTCCGTCCCTCCCTCCACGTCCCTCCCCGTCCTCCCTCTCCCGCCCCGTAGCCACAGCGTCCCCCCGGCATGGGCCGTCCCCGCCTTCCCCTCTTCTTTCTTTTCTCTGGTTTTATGTTTTCAGGCCTTGACGGCTGCTGCAGCGACACCGGCGCGTGCCCGCGCCCGGGCTGCGCTCGTAGAGGCTCAGCAGTGTCGAGACGGCCCCGACCCTCCCCACCAGCCCCGGCCTCTTCCCCGAGCGCCTTTTTCCCCTCTTTTTGAGTCAACACTAACCCCTCTCTGACTCCTGTATGTGACAAACGCAATCCGTCTCTTTATGTTCAAGGTGAAGTGCCTGTATTCTCCGCTGCAGAGCCCCCGGCAGCCCCACCGCGGGCTGCGGGGCCCCGGAGGGCTCCCTTCAGTGGGGCAGGGGCCCGGCGGGTGGGCGGGCGGGCGGCAGGAGGGAGGTGACAGCGCCCGCGCGGAGCTCCCCCCACCCCGTCCCATCGCGTCCCATCGCGTCCCATCCCGTCCCCGTCCCGTCTGCTCGTGCCTCTTGCGGGGACGGGTGGGATGCCCGGCCCTGCCCCAGCCCCGCCGACCGATTCCAGCTCCCACCGGGGCCAGGCGCGCCGCAGCACCGCGTCCATTGCCGGCGGTGGACGTGCCAGCGCGCGCTGGCCCCCCCCCGACCCACAGGTACCTGAGCAGGGGAGCTGCAAATCGGCCTGGGTCCCCGACCCCGCTCTCCTCCCACCCCCCCCCCCTCCGGCCTCCCCCGGTTCCCGAGCTGAGGCTCAGCCCCCGCGTGCCCACGGTCCCCGCACGCCGCGGGCCGTGCCGTGCCCCTCGCGGGTCCCCGCGGATGCTCAGCAGCAGCTGGCTTGTTGCCTGAGAGCCTTGCCGAGCACATCCCCTCCGGCTGGGTGGGCTCCCGGCCGGCCAGGGCGGTCGGGGGGCAGCCGTGGGGCAGGCTGAGGGCACGCGTCCCCCAGTGTCACCCAGCCCCGGGGCCCTGCTGAATGGAGCCCTCGTCCGGGTGCTGACCTGCAGGGAGGCTGCAGCCCCGGGCCCGTGCGTGCATGGCCTGGAGCGAAGCCGGTGACGGCAGCCAGAAGGGCAATACAGGCACTGAACTTGGCGGTACATGACTGCATGGTGTGTGGTGTTCCAGTTAAACCAACCGATAATGCAAACCCAGCATTTTCATTGTCTAGTTATTCCAATCCTTGCTGTAAATGTGCCACATGAATAAAGTTTGGGGGTAAAGGAGCCCGGGCTGTGCCCCTGCATGTGCGAGTGTGTGCGGGGACGGCGGGGGCTGAGCCGGGCGGGTGCGCGGCAGCACGGTGCCCTGCGAGCGGGGCTGCCCTCCCGGGGGGTGCAGCGCCCCAGCACATCCGTGCACCCCAAGTGCCACGTGCAAACACAAGCTTTTGGCTATGAAAGGGAGATCGGGCTGGGTGTGCACAGCCTCGAGCCCAGAGCGGGGTGACGGCCACAGCAAGTCCCACCGGTGGCTGTCACCGTCCCCTGCCCTGCAGCCTGGCATGCAGTGCAGGGTGAAGCCACGTTCAGGAGGGTGCCAGGCAGCTCCTGGCCCTGTCCAGCACCTGGGAGCAGGGCACCCAGCAGCAAAGGGAACCCCAGGACCTGCCCAGCACCGCGGTGCTGCAGGGAGCAGGGGCACGGCCACAGGGCTGGCACGAAGCGGGCAGCTCCCGGAAAGCAGGGGCAGCCTCAGCCCGCTTGCTCCAAGCAAAGGTCACAGGGGTTTTAATGGCTCCCTCCGTGCAGCCCCCGATCAGCTTTATTGACCTATTTTCGATGGAGTCGTCTAATTAGTTTTCTATGAAAACTAAGAACTTGGCCTTTGCCCTTTACTCCTGCAGGCGAGAATGTGACTCAGAGGACGTTGTCACGGCGGATCGATCGCCGGCTACACTTGAAAGGCAGCACGGAGGGGACGAGGGGGTGGGCAGGCCGGGTGGGTGCCCAGCTCTGCACGACACGGGCACACAACTGGGACCACCAGTGCCCGCCGTGCACGAACCCAGGCTGCCATCACTGCCCTCAGTGATGCCACAGCCCCTCCAGGACCCTACAGAACAAAAACCCAACCTGCCCAGGGTGGAGCCAGGATGTCTCTCACCACCTCCTCCTGCTCTGCTCGGCATGGCTGGGGCTGACCACTGTGGTGCAGGTTGCTAATGATGGGTTCTGTTTTTACAGGGATGCTCACAAAAATCTGGTGGGTAAAAAAAGCACCCAGAGCCTGTCCCGCAGCCAGCCACAGGGCGTTGGGCTGCAGGGCCAGCGGTGCCCGAGCTGCTCTGACCCACGGTGCCACCCGCCTGGCTGGAGGCAGAGCCAGTCCCGGTGTGACGGAGCTAACCCGGCACTGCCAAGGGGCTGGGCTGGCACCTTGGAGGGGATGGCACCTCCCCAGCATGGGTAGGGCTTTGGGACAAGCGTCTTTGGGGTGGGGGTCTGGGTGTGACCAGAATGGGGCTGAGCTCTGCAACCCGGCCCTGACGGAGCACACTTGCACCCCACAAGCCCTATGGAGAGGGGCAGAGCAGCTCACACTATGGCCAGCTGTGCCGGGGCTGCTTGGAGCAGGAACGGGTAGAGCCTGGAAACTCCCCTGCTGCCCAGGAGCTGCCGTGAAAATTGCCCAGGTGCACAGCAGGAGCTGAAGAACCACAGCTCCTCAAAAAAAAACACCCTCTCTTCTTCACCAGCATGACCGAGCAGGACTCTGGTGCACCTCACCTTTCATGGGGTAAGTTTTAGGACTGAATGCGGGCCACTCACACCGCATAGGATCACGACCCTTGCATACCCCTGCACTGCGCTGTCTCTGTGCCAGGCGCTGCACAGACACCACGGCCACGGCTGCCTCCATCACTGTGGGGTCAGCACCCACAGCTCCGGGCACCTTGTGCAGGGCACACGCAGCACCAGGGCCCCAGGGGCGTGCAATCAGATCCCCTTTGGCAGTGGGGAAGGAAGGGCTGTGCAGACACGGTGCCTGCAGCCCCACCAGCAAACCCCATCTCCAGCAGGGCTCCCCAAAACATTTGGGGCCTGCCCACCCCTCCTGCAGGTCCCTCGCGCACTGCTCCGTGTGCTAGGCGCATGGTGGGAGGCCCCGCTGCCCACCCCAGCGGGAAGGCGGCCCCGGTCCCCGCTGCGCGCCCGGCAGACGGCAAACAGAGCATGGAATTTGCACGGCTACAAGTTAAATACAACACACAGACGGATTTCGTCAGAGGGCCTGGCACGGCTGCCTTCGCGGGATCCGATTAACGGGGAAATAAAAGGGCCAGAGAACCCACGCAGCAGCGCGAACAGATGCCCTATAAAAATCAAATACGTGGTAATCAAGGGGACCGAAAGGTACATTTAAAAAAACAAAAACCCACCCTGGAAACAAAGGAACGGGGCTTTGTGGCTTTCCTGGGAGGGCTGTGGAATTAATGGGGAAGAGCACATGTGTTTGATAATCTTTATATGGCAAAAGACCCATCTTTCAAATATGTCACAAATTCATATTAATCACCTTCCTATTGCCTTCTGTGGCGCAGCTATTCCAGTTGCCTTGGGCAAAATTGGGAACTGTCTGGTTAAAAAAAATGTTTTACATTATAATTTACAAGAGCCTACAAGTCTAGTTTCTTTTAATGGAAAGAACGATTAAAAAAAAAAAAAAGCGTGGAATATATATACACCCTGGTATATATACACTATATATATATATTAAAATATATATATATATAAAAGACAGATATTGTAACTCCATCTGGAAAGAGAGAATGTTTGATCTTAACAATGTAACTTCTAGCTTTCAAACAGGCTCAGAAAACAAGAAGTCAGCAGGAGTTCAGATAAAGGAAGCTTAAAAGTCAAATAATTCTGACTCTGAACCCGAGACTTCTTAGACTCAAGGTCTTTTCCTTTACCCATTAATGGGCTGACTTGTGAGCTCAGGAACAAAGTGCTGCAATGTGAGGATTTCTGAGAGTCACTCATTACAGATCACTGAGTGGAGTCTGAGTTGCGGAAATCAAAGGATCCAATCTGGAGTAACTGGCTGAACTTCTGCTTGGAACTAATTTGTTCCGAGTTCGGCTCACCTTTCACCTCCCGAAGGCCCCGAGCACAGTCCCTACCGGGGTCAGCGGCAGACAGGCACCGGGGGGATCCCAGCTCAGCTTTAATGGTCAGCGACGGGCACCGCAGCCCCTGGGAGACGGTGGACGGCAGCCCCAGGAGGAGGGACGCAGGGGATGCAGGAGGGCAGCGCAGTGCTGGGCTTTCTGCTGCCCACAGGGGCTGCGGCACGCAGGCAGCGCTCCTGCCCGGGCTCACGGTGCTCACCCTGCTGCACAGAGCACAGCGCACGCAGGAGGGGATTCCAGGGGGGGCAGCAAGGCCCAGGGGCTGGCATCACCGAGGGGCAGCGCTGCTGGGGACCCCCAGGGATGTCAGCTCCTGCCTGTGCCCAGGGGAAGGGCTGAGCTGGAGGAAGCCCTGGGGACAGCCCCATGCCGAGAGCACAGGCAGCTGTTGGCACAGCTGTTAGCTGCGTGCGTTCATCCCAGCATGCCGAATCCTGGACAGGAATCCAGGTTTGCAGGGAAGAACACGGGAGTCAGGGCTCAGTCCCATTCCTGGCTTTGCCACTCACTCTCTCCCAACATCTGGAGCAGGATACTTCTCTCCAGGGAAACAAATCTGGCTTCAGGGGAGCAGCTGGCTCAGAGGCTGAACTAATCCGTGCTCAAACCAACATGTGGAGTGCCACGGATGGGCAGCGCTACACAGCACAAAGGGCCTCATTCTCTAACTCAGAGGAATTGGAAGCAGGGGGATTAAATGAGTCCCCTGGCAGCTCAGGGGCAAAGCACAGGCTTGAACTCCAAGTTCAAGGCTGGCATGGCTGGGCTAAGCCACGGAAGCAGCCTTGGCGATGTGCAGGGCAGGCTGCAGCCCAAAAACACCCACAGCCAGGGCTGCAGGAGGCAGAGGAGCCTGGCACGCTGCTGAGCAGGCAGGCTGTGCCCCAGCACACCCACCCAACAGAGAGCTGCCTGTTGGTGCCACCAGCACCACAGGGTGAGGGCACTGCCATGCACCCCACCAGGACTGCCCCAGCCACCCCCTGCCTCCCAGGTGCTGATTCTAACCGTGACACCCAGCGAGAGGCACCGGGGCAGGGCAGGGAACACCAGCAGTGCACGGCCTCCAAGCAGCTCAGCCCATCCTTGGGAAAAGATGGTTGTGGGCCACGAGCTGCTGGTCCCTGACACTGCCTGAGCACCCGGAGCTGCAGGAAGGCACAAGGCAAGTGCTGTGCTAGGCCCTGCCCAACTCTCCAAGCACGCCCGAGCCAGGCAGAACGTGGCACAGCAGCCCCGTTCCCCTTCTCTCCAAGATACCCCTCCAGCTGGGATGTAATTTTTTCCCCCCTCAAAAGGTAACATAAAATGGTCACAGTGTGAATGTGCTTGACCTTTTGTCTTGGACTAATCTAATTGTGTCGTCTTTGTGTAATCAGCCGGTAAAGGTCAGTGCTGTATTTAACATGGAGGCCCTTTAGGTACTGAATTTGCCTTGCAGTGAATTAACTTGATTATATTTCTTTCAAATATGTCAGAGACCAGGTCAGTTTAACCCTCTCTGCGCTGCCCGGGCCCACCTCTTTGTTTCCAGCTCCAGGAGGTGGCGCTGAGGAGGGACGTGGTCAGGAACACGCTGGGGGCTCCCTCCTCCTGCAGCCACGGCCACCACCACCACCGCTCTCCCTTTCCCTTGAGCCTGCTCCTTGGGAAGAGGAGGTGAGTTGTGAACCAGCCCAGGAGGTTTCCAAACCGGGACATACCCTGGACCGCACGGAGGGGTGAGATTTCGGGTGGAATGCAGTGGAAAAAAAAAAGATTCAGAAGACTCCTTTGCAAACATGAACCTGTCTCGGCAGAACGCTTCCTTATGACTCCATATTGTGACAATTGAAGAGGACATTACTCAAGTCCAGATTAATGTGTCACCTCTGCCGTTGACAGATAAGGTGTTCTCAAGATCCTGCAATAATACATCATACATTTGAGAAAGTAAAGGGCTGTGACGCTACCGGGGCAGGTTGGCTGAGGCGTCGGGGATGCCACTGCGTGGAGAGGGGCAGCTTGTAGCAGGCAGTTCAGCTCAGCCGTGCCAGGGGACCGCAGGGAGGGGGGAAAGCAACCTTGGCTGACCCCAGGCGGACCCTCGGCCCTGAGGCAGTGGTGAGGGGCTGGCAGCCCACCCTCGGGGAGGTGGGGAGGAGAGAGCTGGTGATGGATTTACAGCATGCACAGGACACTGGCGCAGGGCTCGTGGTTGAAGCTTCAGTGGCTTCCAGAACCCCTGGGTCTGGCTTTCCTTCCTCGGCACTGGAGGTGGGGCAGAGAAACACCCCGTTGCTCTTCACATACCTCTCTCCTTCCCCAGCCTCCTGCCCCAGGTAGGGCTACCCCTCAGCTCCAGGGACTTGGGCAAGTCATGGCTCATCATATCAAGGCTGCTTTTCCCACTTGCTTCCCTCTGCTGAGCAGCCCTTATGGGGCTGTGTCTAGAAGGAAAATGCCTCAGGCCTGCAGCTGTACTGGCTTCACTGTGGCTGCCCCGGTGCAAGCTCTCGTCACCCAAAGCCTCGCTGCTTTGGTCCACGGTGGCACCCGCATCAAGCCATCTGCCTGCATGCAGGATGTAGAAAGACCTGCTGACCCCACCTATAGCACCAAGAACACTGTCCAGCACAGGAGACGAGCCCAGAGAGCACTGGGACTTGGGGAAACGGGCGTGCTGTGCTCCCTTGGACGCGCACGCCTGGAGGGAGAGCAGGGCAGCGTCCCCAGCGCTCGTCAGGGCATCTGCGTCGGAGACCTGAGTGCTCCCTGTTCTGCCCCCCCGACCTTCCTCCTCACCGAGTTGGGGGTCAGTGGTGCTCCTACTACATCAATGATCTGGTCCTTGGCATCTCCCTTGCCCTCCTCCATGCCGAGCCCTGCCTGGCCATCTGGATGGGCACCTTCCGCACTGAGGGGGCCTATACTGCCAGCTTTGGCCAGCGCCTCATAGCGGTGCCGTAACATCTGCAGCTCGTATTCACAGTTGGCAAAGGCTTGCTTCAGCTCGTACAGCAGCACCAGGTCACTCCGCAGCTCGTTGAACATCTGCACGATCTCCTCCGTGGGCATCGGGTTGAGATCTAGGGAGGAAAAGGGGTCCTGTTAACACCCTGGAGCAGCTACCCCATGTCAGAAGATCCCCAGAAAGGTCCTGGCTGCCCAGTTCACTCCCACAAGGATGTGCCAGGAGCCTCACTCCCATCATGGGGTTCATTAGCAGCTGGCATCCAGAACAGCTGAACACCTGGAATTTTCAGGCTGTCCTTTGGCTCTGGCCAAGGACTGAGGGTGAACCTGCTAAGTCCAGGACTCACCAAGCGAAGGGTGAAGAAAGACTGAGATCGGATCAGCCCAGAAGGCAGAACCTTGCTACCTAGGGGCTCATATAATAGGAGCAAGTCCTTAGACACTGTTGCAGAAGACAGAAGAGCTCCTGGTGTCCCCTGTGCACGCACCAACAAGGAGCAGATGGGCTGAGCTCTCTCACCACTGCTCCTCCCAGAGCAGGGAGGCACAGAACTGGGGTGCTGCCTTACCAGCACACCTCAACACAGACCTGAACAGGGCCCTGGCCTCATGACCCCAAACTACTAGCGATGTGTTCACCCACTCAAAGCCCAGGTGGTTTTTCTGCACTCTACGGCACAACAGGGCTGGAGCTCCAGGAAACCCTTGAGATGTGTGCATTTTATAAAGCTGGAGTGGGGAGTCAGAAACCCCTCCTTACCCTCATTGAAAGTGGGCTTTAAGAGGCACTCAGATCCTTCCAAAGGCTTCCCTAGCAAGCTCAGCTGGCACTCTTTCAGCTTCAATCCTGCCATTCCACTAAACACTTTTACACTCCAATTAATCTCCTTCCATCTCTCTCTCCTTTATTGTCAGTCAAAAGATCTACCTATTTTTCCCTGGGCTACGGACTGCTTTTAACGGGAAAAAAAAATGACAGTAACTCCCTTAGTTTTAAAGCAGAGAGGGGAAATCACCCGGGTTGAGCTGCTTTTACCAGCTACAGGAGGCTTTCGAAACTGCACACAGTCTCTGAGGCAACGTATCAAGCCACAGACCAGTTGGCCCAAAAAACTAACAAGAGCTAACAGAAAGAAGTCAGGGCTGGGAGCGGGTTCAGTCAGCTCTTATAAATCACCGTAAGGCTTTTTTTTTTTTTTTTTTTAATTCCTGCAGACACAATGCAGGGGAAAAAGGACCTCAGGTGTCTAATCAAGGGGCACTGCATGCTGGGACCTGTAGTACCTGCGAACCACACTTGCTGCATGGAGGGCAGCAGCTGACCATGGGCTGCACCGCTTCCCCTCTGACTACGAGTGGGTATTGTACGTGGCAAGCAAACCCTGCTTTCTGCTGCTAAGACACTAGAGTTCAAGAGTGAGGGATGTGTGTTTACTTGCCTTTCAGCAGAGGTGCTCCAGATTTTCACACAGCATGCAGCCTATAAAGGGGGGATGAACAGTCCCAGACGCATTTTGGACTTGCCACCGTGAGCAGTAAATTAAGAGGAAACGAAGCTTGAAAGCAAGACAGGGCAGCCCTGAACAATGCGCGTGCCATGGTCACTAACACACTTAGAAGTACCTCTCCCGGCAAGGCTGAGATTTGCCTTCCTAATACTGTGCTGCCTCTCTTGATGGTTAAAAAGGCCCAAACAAGAGAGAAACAAAGGGTCTTTTAAAACATTTTTCTACTGGGAGGAAAGAAAAAAACCCTGTGCATCTTGTTCTGGCTTTTACCCTCTCTCTTTCTTTTTTTTTTTTAAACACATAAAATATTTTAAAAACCATTCACATACTGTTATTCAAGAAACTGGCTGTATTACTAGGGGAAAAAATAGCCCATCTCAAGAACAAAGGCTAGCTCTGTGTGTCTCTTTCTCTCTCGCGTGCCCCCTTTACTCACCTACTCCGAGTTCCATCAGCATCTGCTCCAGGGCTTTAATCTTCTTCTGTCCCACCGAGCTTGGCAGTTTCATCTGGAACACAAAGGTAACAGAGCCACACAGCTCAGAGATAGCCCTCACTCACAGCCGTCTAGTTCAAAAGGCAAGAGAGCTTTTCTTTTTATAGTGCAGGGGGAACAAAAAAAGAAAGGGAGAGAAAGGAAAATCAAGTGGTAAGAGAAGGAGACAGGGGCTGAAAGTTTTCAGACTAGGTCCGAGGGCAGGTATTGAAAAGCCTGGTCGCGAGGGCTTTTATTTTCTCTCTCGTGTGTGTGCAAGACACGCTGTTTTACAGTTTCCATGTGTCACTGAATTAACAACAAAAGTTCTTCTTGGCTTCAAAACCTCTCCCGCGGTGCCCAGCCCATCAAAGGGCTCATTTACACAGTGGCTAATGTGCAATGCTGCCCTACTTTATTCGCTTTAGCCGGCCTGATTAGACTCATGCGCTAACAGACTCACTTCTCCTTTTACCTGCTGAGCCCCAGACCTGTGGGATTCATTTACAGAGCAGGCTTTATAACAAAGGGGAGAGACAGAGAGAGCACAGTTACTTGACTGGCGGAAGTGTGAACACACATTTACATCGGAGCTAAGGGGCTAGGTGAGAGAGGAAGCATCAGATGTGAGCTATGAAAGGCAAGCGGAGCTGGCCAGGAGAGGAAGAATGCATACACTTAGCAGGGTCCTTCCTCTGCATTCATTTGGGCTCTGGCAGGAGTGCTGGCTGCTCAGACCAAGCATTTAATAGATTACAAGCTGCACGAACGCAGCTGGCACAATATGGCAGGGAGAACAGGGCTCCAAGCCCTGTGGATACAGCCGAGAACGAACGAAAGCGCATCCTTTCCTCGACGGTGCTTAAAAGGCAGAGCAGGGGAGAGCTGAGTCACAGCACAGCAGCCTCAAACACCTCGCTGCAACACCTTCATGGGCTGCCCCTCTGTATCCAGCCCTCCCAAGGTGACCCTGCAGCTGCATCCTGGGCAGCACCACCCTAACAAAGCCTGCAGCTGCCCTTTCGACAGCCGAGAGGTGAAAGCTGCCCGCAGCCACCCTGCATGCTGCTTATGGATCAGTAGCCCCAGCGTCTGCCAAGCCAACCATGAGCCTGCATCACTGGCCTAGGAAGGAGCTGAGGGAGGAGCCACTCTTTACAGCACCTTAAAACTGGATGTGATGGTCACCTTACATCCCGTAAGCCACTGGTTAAAGTTCCCCAAAACAGACAGCCCAGTATCAGTTTCCCAAATTACACACCTTTCCCGCAGTGCTGCCCTGAAGCAGCCCCTGAAATGAAAACAACAGACACCACCTGCACCTGCTGAGTTCCTCGGAGAGCAGAAATACTGCACCTGCACACCCAAGGGGTAAGAACACCAACCTTAACCCTGCCACAGCTGGATATGGCCCATCGCAGCTCCACAACCCAGTGCAAGGCTGGAAAACCTGCCTTCTCCATCCCATCTTTTCAGATAAAAACCCAGAGTACAGCTGCTACACAGCACCCCGGGGAACAGGCCTTTCACAGTCTGCTCTAGAAAGCATCTCATCCCTTTGCTGGATATTATCACCACAATAGACTCCAGCAAAGGACAAGGTCTACCACCAGGGGAGAATTTCAAAGAAAAATGCCTGCTCCAAGGGATGCAAAAGGAGCATTAGGGAAAGAAGAAAATCTACCCCTGTGCAAACAGCCGCAAGAGTAAAGACTGGAGGCCACCTCTGTCCTATTTTTATACCCCAAGGGTCTCTGGCTCAGCGTTGGGGTTTCTGCACAGTACTTCTGAGACCAAGTCTTTATGGAAAGGAAAAAGGCAGCCCAGAGAACTGGGGCTGGAGATGATAGACAGGAGGTCTGGGTTTGTTGGCTGTAGGAAGAGCACAAGCTGCTCCCCTAGGAGGCTCTCACGAGCTCAAGGAACTATTAGCAATACACGCGACTGCTCCAGCAACGCCTCTGAGTGGAACATCATCATGTGTGTCCTGCTCACGTCTGATGGGAGCCCGGTCAACGAACACTGAGCCAAGGTCTTTACTCACGCTCCTGCAGATCAGAGGATGGGGCGGGGAGAGGCAGGACGAGGTAATTTAACTGCAAAGAAAGGAACACTGGGGATGCTGAGGAGCGGGGCTGTTTGTTTAGTTTAAAAACACATCAATTAAGCTTCCTTTTAATTCAGGCAGGAGGATCTGGCCTGCCAACAGGAAGGCTTCATTGGTTTCTCAAAGCAAGAGTATATTTTAATTTTACCATCATTAAGAAAATGTTATGATTTATGTGGCTGCTGTCAGACTAATATCTTTAGAATTTAGCTGGCTAAGCCAATTCATCTCTAAGACTGATGAAGGCTGATTGCTCTCTATGCAAAATGTATTAAAACTAAATGAGCAGTCTATTACTCAAACGCTGCTGATAATCTGTTAGCCAGGGTCCGTTAGCTGGGCTGCCGTGTTGCAGGGGAGAACTCTTTGTGTCCCGTGAGGCTCAGGCAGGCCCAGGCTGACTTTGGCAAGCCCTTCGTTGTGCTGGTGCTTGCAGCAGGTGGCCACAGATGCAGCAGCGTGCTGGAAGCGATGCCTCAGCTGCCCTCGATGACCACAGCGCACAGAACAGCTCTCTGGCTATGGATGTGTGAGCCTGGACGTGTGGTTTGTGAAGGCCCCATCTCTGCCTTACTGAAAACACCACCCAGGCAGTCTCGTTGCTCACACCACAGCTCCTGGGATGATCTTGGCATTGTCACAGATCCAGCCCTCTGCAGGGGCTGAGGAAAAAGATGTTCCTCGGAGAACTCCAGCAAGCAACCACAGCTTCCGAGGTGAATGGCATTTGCCCTTTTCTTTCCTTCCTTACACAGGACTATTATTGTTATTTATTATCTTTAAAGTCCCCATGTAATAATAATACCCGGGAAACGGATTGCTCTAGTCAGAAAACTGATTAGCTGGGATTTTTGAGGTTACTATATTTCGGATGCTCTTCTCCTCTGACAGCCTCTCCCTACAGCCCTGTTTGCTCCACCAGCCTGTGCTTATAATTACACCAACGTCGCTTTTGATTTAAGGACTGCAATCTTTTGTCCTGGCTATAAACAACCTGCACTAAACACATGAACTGTGTGTATCAAGAGAAAAATAAATAAAGGGCTACAGAAAATTGCGTGAATCAACAGCACGGAGCCCTGGCGTCAGAGCCCCCCTGAAGGAGGAGGGCACCGCTCAGGAATTTGGGTCGTGCAGCTTGAATAGATGAGCAGAGCACCCACCTCACTTCAGCGCAGGGCTGTGCAGACCTGGGGTTGGCCAGATTTCTGCAGAATGCTCTCACGGCCGAGTCCCCTCGAGCTTCTCAGTGATGCAGGATTTTCTACGCCTTTACTTAACGTTCTGCCAACAAAACCTCGCTAATTCACACTAATGACTGGGAGACCTACTGCAAATTAATTGTTAATTGGCCAAATTCATTAGATGAACAAACATGGTAAGAAATAACTGAAGATACAGCCTCCCCAAACAGACTGGCTTCATTTGTTTGTGTTTGTCGTTCAATTTTCATGATTTATGGTAATACTTCTAAGCGTAGTCATAAATGTATTTGAGCATATTTTGGAAGAGTAATGAAGCCTACGTAGCAACAGAGCTTGCAGCACGCTGCCCTGGTGTGCCTTCCTCTCCTGGCCAGCACCACCACCTGGCAGGTACAGATTGCCATGGGCATCTGCATTAGGAATGGGACGGGTTTGCACGATCTACAAGGACAGATTCAGCTGGATCCCACTCGTGATTACATCTCTGTGGTCATCTTAAACGTTCTGCTCTCTCAGTTTACTGCTTTCCTCGTAAATGCTCCATTTTTGGTGCTCACAGCATCCAAAAAGTCCCACTTTGGTGTCGAAACTTTTTGTTTGGTCTCTCACCAAAATGATTTATCAGCAGTTACTCGGACATTTTATATGCACGCTCCCTGATGCTGCACTTCAATCCATTTTAATTCAATTTCGAGACAGTCTTTTCCTTAAACTCACCATTCCCCACCCCTAAACAATATGACTGTCCTAAAACCGTTAATCCTAAAAACTCCACACTTCTGACCTGTGTCTGTACAGCTATAAACTGTGGTTTTATGCACCAGTACCGTTGTTCAGCATTATAATACAGCTCACTGACATTGAAAACCACCTTCTTCATGGATTTCAGCAGCAATTCAAGAAAACTTTCTCATTAGGCACTTTCTTCATGGATGTCTTTAGAGTACTGAATTGCTTAGTGGGTTTCCAGGAAGAAGGAGTGCTGAAGTTTCAGATGAATAATGCTTTTTGCATTTTCTGGCTGAAGATGGGGAAAGAAGGTCAACCTTTTCCCATCTGCATGGCTCTACTCTGCAGGAGCAGAGAGCCTCTCCACTTCTGCACAGTTTTAAGACTCAAGGAAGAACCATATTAAGTATTCTCGCCTTAGAGCTCCGGAATTTAAAAAAACCCCAACAGAGAAATTCAATTTCAGGTATGAATGTGCACATTTCTGGAAATTTGAAGTGCTTAACTGCTCAGAACTAAAGTCCTACAATGAGAAGTGGATGGGTAATTGCAACGGATATATGCAAAACTAAGAAAAGTTTGAAATTATACAGGTATTCCCTGCCTCAATGAGCATATAAGCTACCCCCTGCCCAAGCTTACAGCCATAGACCCCATGCCTTACGTCAGTGCCTGCTGATCTGCCAAACTAAGATTTAGGATTAAAAAAAATCGCACTGCTCTGCCATCTCTACTATGCTATGTAACACATTAAGCACAACGATCACTTTGGGATGGCACGTGACCATCGACTTGCTCCATCAGTGAGGCTTAATGCTAAATAAACCAACCTTTTAAGAAGAAAACATGTCTATATTAACTTATGTAAATGGTTATTTCAGGGTGGTTTTTTTTAGACTGAAGTAAGACATACCTCACAAATTCCCAAACCAATTGTGCATAAACATAAATTCTGTACCTGAATCCTCCTAGTAAATTAAACCAGTTTTACTT